GCAGCCGCAGCCACCAGCAGCATCAGGAAATTTTCCTTAACATCCTTCCCTGGCAGAGGTTTGATGTCAGTGTGCTGCTCCATCATCACGCAGAGGGTTTCATGCTCCAGGACATGGACAGGTTGGTAACAGTTTTGGACAGACCATGTCAGCCCAAAGAAAGCTGCTGAGAAAGCAGCTTCTACACCACAGCTCCCAGCTCTCTGCTGGGGGCCCAGGAGCAGAGGCCAGTGGCAGAAAAGCTGGCTGTTCTCTTGCTTTCTTGAAACAGAAAGAATCTAAGATTGTAGCATTAGTTAAAATAACATTTAATAAAAGACTTGGCCTTCCAATGAGTCCCCTTGACATAAGAAATTCGGTAATTGGCTAGAAAGGCAATTAGTGGTTCCTGATTATCAGTGATGTTGAAGCCAAACAAACACACCCCGTAGGATTCACCTGTGTCTTAGCTGAAACTGGAAAATCAATCACCAGATGAACTTTTTTTAGCATACAAACTGAGTTTTACACTGGGAAGTTTTCAGCTACAGCTCGCTCCTGTTTCGGTGCCCTTCTTACCCCACACTGCCTCAAGGCTCCCCCCTCTCTGGGCCTCCACTTTGACCACTCTCAGGACTCCTCCCGTCCCCCCAGCCCTTCCCAGGTTCTTGTTACAGCTACCTTTCAAATTTTGTAGCAGGCTTTAACTATTAATCAATCTTGATTAGTACCCCAGGTGTATCCATTCCTCCACGGTAGTTCACTGCAGGTTTAGTCCCCTTGCGATGAAGCTAACATAGCAGCTCTTCAAATAGCAATACCTTCTTTTTGGGGAACAAATGTGCTAACCCACAGTTGCTTTAGCTCACTTTTAGCATTACGTACCAAGTACTGAAGCAAATTTCAAACTAGTTTCAGGTAATTCCTAAACCACTGGCACCAACTAACCACCGCAGCACATGCTGCTGTGCCAGTTTAAGAGGCCAGTTGTGAAAAAAAGCAGATGAGCTTCATGCTGCTGCCACCAGCCTGCAGCATTACCCCCACAGCCCTTTGGCTTTTGCTGTAAACACACCTCAGATCCCCACACAGCTTCCTCACAGGATGTTTGACATTACAGCTCACCAGAGGCCACCTGCTGTGACACCAGGCATGCCTGTTTGCTTGACAGGTCCGTGCTGAGCTCATGCCCATGGCATCTATCAGATTTCTCCATGTTTCCATCACGGCAGGTACCTGGAGAGGAGCTGTGACAGGACGCAGCCATGCTTCAGCTCCGAGACGTATTCACAGAAGACAAGGATCCAAGTACACTGCCCTGTTCACCTCAGGAGTGAGGCTTTAACACATGGAATAAATACTCCAGCCACCAGCACCAGAATTTGTTCCCACTGACCCACTTTGTTCTGTGTCATTTAACAGTCACTAGACTGGTAAGAGCAAGAATTCCTAAACTGAATTCAGAGCACTCAGAAAGAAGGCATCATTTGCCATTTCAGGTGTAACTCCACTTCACTGGTCAGTAAGCTCCTGCAAAGTAGCTTCAGGAGCAACAGTTGGGGATGGGGGGGAAAAAAAAAAAAACAAAACAGCCTGGGTAGGACAGCCCCAACAGATACTTTTAACATTCTACCCTCACCAATCATTATGTATGAACCATAAGTAAGGGATAGTAAGTTTTTAAGCACGATCAGTAGTATTTGCATGACTAAAGTTCAGCACTCCAAATTAGCTAGACGGGAAATGTTAGGATTCATATTACATGTAAGAGGACAAACATACCAACCCATACTAATGGTGCAATACCTAAACAGCACAAGGATTTAGGAGTAAGATGGCAGAGGGAGTCACTAAGCAGCTAAGAGCAGGCAGGCGGCTGCCTCAGAGCTCAGAGGCAGGAGCATCAGCACTCTTGAGACCGCATGGCTTTGTGGGGGTGAAGTCAGGACACCAGTGCAGGATCATACAGGCCTGTCTCCAGTACAGTACCCACTCCTCCAGAAGAGACCCGGTAACAGAACACGAGGCACGAGAACTGCCCCAGAAAGCAGCTACACACACATCAGATTGGCAGGGAAACCATTTATTGAGCAAAGCCGCGCTGAGATGCTGCAGGTGGATCACGGAGGCCCGGGTAAAGTGCAGGAGCATCCGTCGACAGCCTCATCCTCCCAGCGCTCAATCCAGCTGCGAGAGGACAAGAAAGGCGTGAGGCATAAGCAAAAAAAAAAAAAAAAAACACGTTTCGCTCACCGCCAGCCCCAGCGCTCACCTTGATGAAGCCGATGTCCTTGGCGTACTGTCGGAAGCACTGCCGGCACATGTTCAGCCCGTACTTACGGATCAGGCCGTGGCGGTTGGAGCACACGCGGCTGTGAGGAGAAAACAGAGAGGGAGAGAGAGTGAGGGAGCGGTCAGGGCGCGTAATGGCGGCGGAGGGGGAGGCTTAGAAAGGGATGAAGGGGGGCGGATAGAGGAGCCTGAAGCCCCCAGACACTGAAAGAAACGCTCTAACCAGGACCGCGAGCCCTGCCCGAACTTCCTGGGGTGGCTCCAGTAGAGCTGCTGGTGCCCCATGCTGCCCGCCGCGCCGCCTCCTGACAGAGAGGAAGATGGCGGCGGGCGCCTGCCTTAATCAACGCCGCGCCGCCTCCCGGCGTGCACCTCTCCCCCCTCCCTCCCCTCAGCTCCATCCCGCCCTCACGAAATGGCGGCGGCCGTGACGTCAGCGGCGGGAGGAGTGGAGTAGCGCTGGCGCCGGGCAGCGTGGCCGGGCGCGGTGGCGCACGCCTGTAGTCCCAGCTGCTCGGGAGGCTGAGCCCGCCGGATCGCTTGAGCCCAGGAGTTCTGGGCTGCAGTGCGCTATGCCGAGCGGGCGTCCGCGCTAAGGCCGGCATCAATATGGTGAGCCCCGGGGAGCCGGGCACACCAGGTTGCCTAAGGAGGGGTGAACCGGCCCAGGTCGGAAACGGAGCAGGTCAAAACTCCCGTGCCGGTCAGTAGCGGGATCGCGCCTGTGAATAGCCACTGCAGCGTAGCCTGGGCAACACAGAGAGACGCGGGCTCCTTTTGCTGCCCCCCCCTAGCACTATTTTGACTATTTTGCCTCAGGAGCCCCCAAAAAGCTGCCGGGAGCCCCCCGAGCCGCGCTGCCCACACCGCCTCCTGCTGGCGGGGCGCGGATATGGCAGCGCCGCCGCCGCCCGCTCCGCAGCGCCTCCTGCGGGTGCCGGGTTGTGAAAATCTGAGGGAAAAAAATTCTTCATCGCAACTCTCCTGGTGTTTAGGGAGCCCGAGCCGCCACCAGAGTGAAGGTGGCAGGCGGTTGAGTGATTTTAGTGGCACTCGTCCTCCGCACACCCCCAGACCCTATTTTGGGGAGGAAGCCCGGATGAAGTTTTCTGTCCCTTCATTTTGTCACTGGGTGATGTCTCTGTGACTTTGTCACTGGGTGATGTCTCTGCTGTCACTGCAGGGCAGAAATCTATGGGGCATGGCACCCACAGCCGTGTCCTCAGCTCCTTAATGTCCCCTCGCACCTAATGTCCCCATCTGCCCTTACAGCCATCATGTCCTCAGTTCCCTCCATGTCCCCTCACACCATGCCCCAGCTCCCCCATGCCCCTTCAATACCCCCAGCTCCCTCTGTGTCCCCTCACACTTGCCATGTCCCCAGCCCCATCAAAGTCCCCTCACACCACTATGAACCCAGCTCGTCCTTGTCCCCTCACACCTGCCATGTCCCCTGTTCCATCCGTGTCCCTTCACACACACTATGAACCCAGCTCCCCCACATCCCCTGACATCCCCAGTTCCCACAAGTCCCCTGCACCACCAAGTCCCCTCACGCCCTCCATGCCCCCATCTCACCCGTGTCCCCTCACACTGCCCATCTCCCCCATGTGCCCTCACACCTGCCATGTTCTTAGTCCCCTGTATCCCTTCACACCTGCCATGTCCCCTGCTCTATCCACGTCCATCACACTCACCATGCCCCCAGCTCACCCCTGTCCCCTCATGCCCCTCAGTTCCCTCCATGTCCCCTCAATGTCCTCTCACACCTACCATGTCCCCAGCTCCCCCACGTCCCTCACACCCACATGTCCTCTGTTCCCATCTCCCTCACATGTCCCAGGTCCCCAGTTCCTCCATGTCCCCTCACACCTGCTGTCACCCAGCCCCTCTGCATCCCCTCACACCTCCCATGTCCTCAGTTCCCATCTCCCCTTACACCCGCCACATCCCTGCTCCATCCATGTCCCACCACAGTCACTGTGAACCCAGCTCCGCCCTGTCCCCTCACACCCTCAGTTCCCTCCATGTCCCCTCACACCACCATGCCCCAGCTCCCCCTACCTCTTCATACCCCTCAGCTCCCTGTGTCCCTCACACCCACCATGTCCCCAGCTCCAAACAAGTCCCCTCACACCCTCCATGCACCCAGCTCCCCCATGTCCCCTCACACCCACTGTCCCCTCAACCCCTTCACACCTCCTTACACCTGCCATGTCCTCAGTCCCCTGTCTCCCCTCACACCCACCACATCCCCTGCTCCATCCATGTCCCCTCACACCCCCAGTCCCCCATGTCCCCTCACACCCCCAGCTCCCCCATATCCCTCACACCCCAATTCCCCCCATATCCCCTCACAACCCCAGCTGCCCCATGTCCCCTCACACAGCCCAGCTCCCCCCATATCCCTCACACCCCCAATTCCTCCATGTCCCTCACACCCCCAGTTCCCCATATCCCCACCCCCCACACACCCCCAGCTCCCCCAAGTCCCCTCAATCCCCAGTTCCCCCATATGCCCCAGCTCCCCCATATCCCCAGTCCCCCCCATATCCCTCACACCCCCAGCTCCCCCCATACCCCCCACACTCCCCACACCCCCCACATTCCCTCACCCCCCCGTCTCCCTCTCCCCTGCCTCTCCGGCCGCCACCCGCAGGCGGCGCCCGCTCCCGCCGCCTCCATACCTCCCTCCCTCCCTCCCCCGTCCCTCCTCGTCCCTCCCTTTCCTCCCTTTTCCCTTCCCGCCCTCGAGCCCTTTCCGCCCGCCGTGCCGGGGCTGGGCAGCGATGCGGCTGCAGTGCGAGGTGGAGGTGCTCAGCCGCCTCCTGCCCTCCTGTGGGCTGCGGGGCCGGGGCCGTGCCACCAGGGCGCTGCTGTCGCTGGGTCGCCCGCCCGGCGGGGCTGGGGCGGCTCCGTTTACCTCATGGTGTGCACGGCCAGGGACCGGGCCGGCTCTCGCTATAAGGTGTGGGGCTCGGGGACGGCTCCCCTCGGTCCCTATCCCTTCCTTTGGGTCCCTCGCCCTTCAGATTTTCTTCTTTTCGTTCTCCTCCCCTGCAGGTGCAGGAGAACGTCGAGCGGTGCTTCACCCGCTTCGTGGAGGAGGGCAAAGCCACCCTGCGGCTCCGGGAGCCTGCTGTGGATATCTGCCTCAGCAAGGTGGGTGCGGGACGGGCATGGACCCTGCTGGGGAAAAAGGGGCAGCACCGGGTCCCCAGCCCCGAGAAGCTGTGCCCTGAGCCTCCTTCCTTCTGCCCCTGTGGGAGGAATGCCCCCTCTCCCTGTCAGGTCTCGTCCCTTTACTCTGAGAGAAGCCTTTCACCTGCCTCATCCCACTTCTTGGGCTGCAGGTCCTATGAAGCAGGGCATTGCCAAACCCTTTCTGATTAAAAACTGATGAACATGCTCGTGTTGGGGGCACACAGCGTGCCCGCTGCTGTCCCCAAGCTGGGACACATTCGGCAGGTCACCGCCAGGCCTCAGTGCCAGGCTGAAAGCAGAAGTCACCGACGTGTCCACAGCCGGTTCAAGGGGCACCTGGAAGATGTAAACATGTTTTTATTGATGCTGAACCCCCCTCCAAAAAACACCACGTTAGCATTTGGTATCAGTGCTGTTATTTTTTTTATGTGGCTGTTCCTCTAATCTTCAGTACCCTCATAGAAAAGGAAAGCGGGACAGATCTTCTAAACCTTGGAGTTAGGCTGTAAATAAAAGCAAAACATATTGATTTATTACTTGGAAAATCATTCTTTCTGTTTCAGCTGTGGTCCTTTGACCTGAAGGAGATCAGTCAATAACTTCATGGTGTTGTACTGAGCAGCAATAATCATCACTGGTTAAGCTTCTTTCTCCCAAGTAGAATATTTTCTTAGAGGGTGAGGTGAGAGGCACGGGGTCTGTCCAAACTGCAGCTCCAGCAGGCGCTGCCCCCAGTCTTGCCAGAGTTGAGCAGAGCTCGGGGCAGGCTGCAATGTCTGCCTGAGAAACCAGGTAAATGAGTCCACGCTTGGACTGTGGCTTCCTGGAAAGAAAAAGCACTTGTTTTACTGGGATTGCGACCAACGAGTGAGTATAAGTCTGAGTATAGTTGTGGTAGCCTGAGATTTTGCAGCAAGAGTCATGGTGGTACAATGATCTGGAAACACTGTGTGTGGGAGTGAAGGCCGTGGTGGTACAGAAAGCGGCCTCAGTCTGATAAGGAGAGTGGTTCACGTTGCAGGGTCAAATATAAGCAGTACTTACCTAAATTCAATAATATTAAGTTTTTTTTGTCGAAAGCAAACGTGTGCAGCAAAAAAAAGTCATGCACGTTGCATTAGATCTAAAACATTCTTGTTTTACATCCTCTGAACGTTTCTACTGCAGTGTGAAAAGTCGGAAAGTTTCTCAGAACACAGGTACAACAGCAGGCCTGGTGGAAGAAGATTTACTAGTGGTATAAAACCAGCAAGGAGAAGTCCAGTGTCTTAGTGCTGCAAGATCTAATTTAGAGCATTTATAGAGCCTGTAAGAAAACTGCATGCCAGTGCAGGGAATAATTTCATTAAGAACTAAATCTGTTGTTTTCTTTATGATAATGATGTTGTTTGGCTGAAAAGAATGTCTCCACAGAATCTAATGAAGCAGGAGTTGGAATTTTGACCTTGTACAAAGCTGATCACAGTTGCTCCAAGGAAGTTAGATCTTTCCTTCTCGTGTTGTACACAAGGCTTACCTTCATACTGTCAAGCTCCAGGAAAAAATACACTAAATTCTTCCAAAGCCAGTGATTCTGTATGTCCCTCCTTAAATGCACTGAATCTGGAAACCCAGTTTAAGATGATTGGTTATTTTTCTGTTTCTATTCTTTTCTATTTCTGTTAGTCATTTATAATTTTATTACAGAAAGGCTTCTGAACTCTCACAACAGACAAAAGCTTTGTAGAACAAGAAATTTCCAGGTACGGCTGTGCTGACTGCATAAAACTACAGCGTAACCTGCACTCTTTGTGCTCTGCCAGGTGGTGTGATTTGCTGTGTTCAACCCCAGCAAAAACTAAGTTGAGAAACGTCAGTCTGGAGCATTTAACCCTGGAGCAAAAGCACTAAAGTCGCTGTGCTTTGTTGGTTTGTTTGTTTGTTTGTTTATTTTTCCCTTCAGCAGGCCTGTGCCTGCTGCGCTGCATGCAAGGTCTGAAATCTGTGTAGTCTCAGATTGCCTCGTCATCTTTCGTTTAACTCTGGACCTCTAAGGCAGAGCAAATTAATTCAGTTTTCCAACGTCTTTTCTGTGGTCAAGAGTTCAGTCTTGTGGCAGAAAATTGCTTCCTGAGCGCTTCCAGCTAATTCTTCGCTTTTTTTCCACGTGTTTGTCTTAGAATTTTTCTCAACGTATCCTTACGGGTTTGCAGATACGTTGCCTTTATGTAGGTATTAGAGTGGAAATGCGTTTTAAGGATCTGGAACACAAAGTGCTCTTATTTTCAAGTCACGTTAATGGTGTAAACTTATTCCAGACATCCTAGAGAATTTGGCTACAAAAAAAACAGGTATCTGTCGTGTCTCACACTTCAAGAGCAAAGAGTTACTGCCTGCAACTTCATTCTAAGTTGGGTCTCTACACGTCTGGAGGACCTCTTTTCCTTTTGAATGTATTTAGCTACTTGGAAATGTGACAAATGTGCCTGTAATTAGGGGGAGTCACACAGCTAAATGTTTTAGATTGGCTGAGATAACGGGTGTGGGCAGTCCTAGATAACAAATGCTTTTGCTGTGCAATTTCCCCGTCTCTGGAGGATTTCACACTGGGAGTTAAGAGAACAGATGTGCATGGGATAATTAAGAAGACCAATAATTAGGTTAGCAATGCAGTCAAATGCATTTGACCTTTTATGCCTTTATTTGTTGAACATCCAGAAGTCTCTGGGATCATCGCTCTGTTGTGCTGCACGGGAGACTTCAGGTGCACAAGTGGGGTCTCAAGGCACGAGCAGGTTCCAGCTGGGATGTTTCTAAGACATTTTCCAAGAACAAACTCACACGTTTGTTGTTTCCTGCAGTGAATGAGATGAATTGGGGCTGTACACATGCATCATTTTTTAACTTTAGAATTTCCTGGGTAGCTTATTTGCACAAAGGGCTGCAAATAATTATCCCTTCGTTTGATGTTGGCACAGCCGAGCAGTGCTGCCTGTGGCCAGAAGCACTCGCTTAACCTGCCGTGAAGCTTTCCACCTTGCTTTCTGTCAAATTCAACCTCAGCTTCCACTCTTAGCAGCTTTTGGAAGTAAATGCTTCAGATTTTAGGTCTCTGCTTTGCCTCTTTGTGTTTTCATTGACTGCCCTTTTGTCACGTTGCAGGTTAGGAACATCCCGGCGCGTCGGGCTCTTTTTCTGTACGTTGCATTCAGCTGTGAGGTCTGTGCTTTGTTCCTTTTCTGAGTAACACCATGGTTTGTTCGATCTGGATTGTTCAGGGAGGTCCTAACTGCTCGTTCAGACTGCCTGCCGTTTGTTCTTAAACCCTGCAAACAGCACATGAACCAAACAAGCCTGAATTTCCCTTCCCAGTTCTGCTCCCTGCTGAGTTAGCGTCTCCTGATACGTGTACAAAATAGTTCAGAAAGTTGTGGTACAGATAAGTGCAAGAATAATAAACTTGTGATTCCACGCTTGTGTTTTTCTGCAGGCAAATGCCAGCAATTTAAAGAATTTCCTTTCAGCCGTGAGACTGGCTCACCAAGGGACCAACATCAGCGCTCTCCCGCTCTCAGCTCTGTACCAGCGAAGACTTCAGAAGTGGAGAAGCCGAAAACAAAAATGATCATAACTTCAAAAAGAGACTATCCACTCACCAAGAACTTCCCTTATTCCCTCGAGCATCTCCAGGCCTCGTACTGCAAACTCGCTCGGATCGACACGCGCGTGCTCTGCTTGAAGAAGCTCCGAAAACTCGACCTGAGCCATAACCACATTAAGCAGCTGCCGGCCACCATCGGTGACCTGGTGTTCCTTCAGGAGCTCAACCTGCACGACAATCACCTGGAGACCTTCAGCAGTGCCCTGTGCACCTCCACCCTTCAGAAGTCTCTCCAGTGCTTGGACCTCAGCCAAAACAAAATTAAAGCACTGCCCATTCAGTTCTGCCAGCTGCGAGAACTTGTTAATTTGAAGCTGGATGACAACGAGCTGATTAGGTTGCCATTCAAGATCGGCCAGTTAGATCATCTGCGCTTTCTGTCGGCAGCTCGAAACAAACTTCCTTTCTTGCCCAGTGATTTAGGAAACTCTGTCTTGAGAGCCTGGATCTCTTTGGGAACCCTTTTGAGCAGCCTAACCCTCTTGTTCCCAACATACAGCTGAAAATACCATTGACTTTATTAGAGTGTGCTGCGAGAGCTAACCGTAATTACAGGTAAGAGCAGCATGGTGGGCACGCAGTTCGCCTACTCGGTCTCAAAGCTGTCAAGCCTAAATTTCCCTGATTTGTTTTTTCCTGTTAGTGGCAGCTGCTCTTCATGAAGTTAGAGCTGCTTTGAATCCCATTTGCAGTTTAATCTCGTTACTATACAGGGTAATGCAGGTCCCTGTAGCAAAGCAGTGACTGGGAAGCATTGGGGAAAGCCGTAGATGAAATGTTTTTTATCCACAAAGTGGGGGCTCCGTAAAGGAATATTCTTGCCCAACCACAGGGAAAGAGAATCAGCCCTGTAAGCCTCGACTACTACCAGCTCTTTAGAGTTGGGAGCTACAGCACAGTGGGTTTTGTGGCACAGATCATGTTTTGTGTTGGGCTCTGGCTTGGAAAGTGCTCTCAAACACAGTTGCCCTTCACCTTGTGCTGACACTGAAGTGCACTGGAGCCCTGTGGGAGGTCCGTGAGCCCTTGTGAGATCAGTTTCTGGCAAGAGCTGCCCTCCACACACAACCGTGGAGCTACAGAGGTGGGATCAGACTGCTTCAACAGCACCCAGCACGAGCTGAGAGGTGGTAGCAAGGTGCTGCAGGACGGCTGTGCCCCATTAGGCAGAGAAGCCCAGTTCAGGGGTAGCTTTAAAACCATTTAACACCAGGTCAACGTCACCCTCGTCAGGCTGCTGCTGGTGACGGGGTTTGCTCCTCTCCGCTCGCCCACGTGCCTCTGCCTGTGATTTTTCCGGTGCCATCTGGTGCTGCTCCCACCTCGTTTTTCTGGGTGGAAAAAGGAGCAAGAAGATGGAAGAGAGTCATGGGTACAGGAAGGGGGTGAGAGACAGCCGGGAAGGCCTCGTAACTGCGTTCCTTGCCAATTCCTGCCTTGGGGATGGGGAGTGCCCCGCAGTCCCGGGTTAATTGCTCACAGGTCAGTGCTAAAGGTGTCCACAGGCATGCAGGGCACGCCCTGGAAATGAGCTGAGCAACCGAGCGCTCAGGTGCAAGTCTCAGGCACTCCTGACCTTGGAGATGTTAACAGGGTGCAACTCCACGCTTCCTTACATAAACTGCCGGGGTTTTGCAATTTCTGCTTTCTGCTCAGGGAGTCTTGGTAAAACAAGGGGCTCCCCTTGCCCACACACACACAAATGCCCCAGACGTTGTCTGCCATTAACACAGAGCAAGAAATGGGAGTGATGATAAGTGTAAAAACCTTGTGAAGGGAGGAAAACGGAGAGAAGACACAAAAGCAAACGTTTGGAAATCAATCCTCATGGTGGCATTCTCAGCAAGCACCAGAGCTGGGATTGTGTGCGCCCTGATCAGAGCAAAGGAAGTCCTGAAATTGAGACGGTGACAAAAACAGAACCACAGGAGCCTCAGCTATGTGAGTGATGGCAGGGAGAAGGCACTGGGGGTGCGTAGGTGTAGCCTGGCTGTGAGTCACTCCTGTTCTGCGGGTCCTCCAGTGACAGCTGGGCACGGTGCTCTCCGCAGCTGGCAGGTAACAAAGCACTGCGGGGAAATTCCTCGCGCTGGACCCCAAACACTGCCGCTCAGCTGCGGATTTAAACAGCAGCAGTTCTTGTTCTCGTCATCGAATGTCAGTGATGCGATGGAGGAAAGAGCAGCAGCACACTCACCCGTTTCCTCCTGAATCCTTTCTTTAATTCTCTCTGTCCAGTTCCTTGGCACTGCCACGCAGGCTGCTGTGACCTCTGGCAATTCCCTGCTCTTTTTGGAGCATTTTCTGGAGGTCAGATCCGTGGTACTCGGGGACGTGGTTGCACGTTTTAGATCTGGGAAGGGTGTTTCTGTTGGAGGTGGTTGATGGATTGTGCACTGAACTCACGCTCGTTCCTCTCACCCACAGACTCCCTTACGGTTGCCACCTCCTCCCCTCTCACCTCTGCGAAGACCTGGAGGTGGCCAAGACGTGCCAGTGCGGCGGCGCCTGCCTGAGCAGCTTCATCCAGATCACGGTGACCATGAACCTGCACCACGTGGCTCACACCGTGGTCCTGGTGGACAACATGGGAGGCACGGAAGCGCCCATCGTCTGCTATTTCTGCTCTCTGGACTGCTACTCCGAGTTCCTGGATGACACCCTACCTGCAGGGCAGCTGCGACTACTGACGGGCAGGGGCTCACCCGGGGGGCTCCATCCCGTGCTGGGGCGCTCCATCCCGTTGCTGGGGCGCTCACTGCTCACCTCCCACCCGGTTCTGAGCTCGCCTCCCAGCCATTTGGGTGCCACAGGGGTCAGCCTGGTGGGGAGGAGCAGCTGTGGTGCACCCCGGGATTTCTGTGCTGGGAATAAAAAGGTGCTGAGCATCAACCCTCAGGGTGGCTGTGTGCTTGTGCTGGGGCTCCCGGGAGGGACTTGGGGGTGTCCGGGACCGGGGTGTCCCAGGTCCGGGATGTCCAGGACCAGGGTGTCCCGGGACTGGGGTGACCGGGATGGGTGTGTCCAGGAGCAGAGGTGTCCCAGATCTGGGGTGACTGGGAAGGGGGGGACCGGGGTGTCCCGGGTCTGGGGTGACCGGGATGGGGGTGTCTGGGTCCGGGGTGTCCAGGACCAGGGTGTCCTGGGTCTGGGGTGTCCCGGGTCTGGGGTGGCCGGGATGGGGGTGACCAGGACCAGGGGTGTCCAGGTCCAGGATGTCCAGGACCAGGGTGTCCAGGATGGGGGTGCACAGGACTGGGGGTGTCCCGGGTCCGGGATGTCCAGGACCGGGGGATGTCCGGGACCGGGGTGACCGGGACCGGGGGTGTCCCGGGTTTGGGGTATCCAGGTCCGGGATGTCCGGGACCGGGATGTCCGGGACGGGGGTGTCCCGGGACCGGAGGTGTCCTGGGTCTGGGATGTCCCGGGACTGGGGTGACCGGGATGGGGGTGTCCGGGTCCGGGGGTGTCCCGTGTCCCGGGTCCGGGGTGTCTGGGACCAGGACGACCGGGACGGGGGTGGTCCAAGACCGGGACCGCCCCGTGGTTTCTCCTCACACCCCCCCCAACCCCAAACTCCCCAGGGGGCTGCGGGCAGCGCGCCCCTCGCTCCACGTGCGTTCAGTGCCCTCCGCTCCCGGTGCCTCTCCCGATGCCTCTCCCGTTGCCGCTGCCCCGCCCGGCTCCCTCCGCTCCCGGTGCTGCCCCCGGTGCCTCCCCCCGGCGGAAGCGCTCAGCAAATGGCGCCGGCGGCGGCCAATGAGGCTGCTCCGGCGGCGGGGCCCGGCCGGGCGCCCTATGGCGGGCGGCGACGTGGGCGCGGGGGGCGGCGGCGGCGGCGCGCGCGGCCGGCGGGAGCAGCGGCGGCGGCGGCGGCGGCCGCCGGCGGCGGGAGGCGTTGGAGGATGAGGCTGCGGATCTACAAGCGCAAGGTGCTGCTGCTGGCGCTGGCGCTGGCGGCCTGCGCGCTGGTGCTGTGGAGCGGAGGGCGGCGGAGGCAGCAGCGGGGCGGCACCGGGGAAACCGCCGCGGGCGAGCGAGCAGCCGCCGCCGCCGCCTCCCCCGCCGCCTCCTCGCCGCCCCGCCGCCAACAACGCCTCGGCCTCGCTCGCTCCCCAGCTCGTCCCGGTGCTCCCCGAGAACGGGACGCGGAGCTACCGCTCGCTCGTTTACCGGCTGAACTTCGACCAGCCGCTGAGCAACGCGGGGCGCTTCCCGGTGCGGGCTCCCGGTGGTGGTGGTGCCGGTGGTGGTGTCGGTGCCGCCGACGTGGTGGCTGGTGGTGCAGGTGCACGATCGCGCCGAGCACCTGCGGCTGCTGCTGGAGTCGCTGCGGAGGGCGGCGGGCGTGGAGAACGTGCTGCTGGTGCTGAGCCACGACCTGTGGGCCGAGGAGCTGAACCGGCTGGCGGCCGGCGTGGACTTCTGCCCGGTGCTGCAGGTCTTCTTCCCCTTCAGCATCCAGCTCTACCCCCGCGAGTTCCCCGGCCACGACCCCCGCGACTGCCCCCGAGACGTGGGCAAGGCGGCGGCCCTGCGGCTGGGCTGCATCAACGCCGAGTACCCCGACTCCTTCGGGCACTACCGCGAGGCCCGCTTCTCGCAGACCAAGCACCACTGGTGGTGGAAGCTGCACTTCGTCTGGGAGCGGGTGCGGGCGCTGCGTGAGCACGCCGGGCCCGTGGTCTTCCTGGAGGAGGACCATTACCTGGCCCCCGACTTCTACCACGTCGTCAAAAAGCTGTGGGCGCTGCGCGAGCGCGAGTGCCCCGAGTGCCAGATCGTCTCGCTGGGCACCTACAGCCCCGTGCGCGGCACCTTCGCCGGGCGCGCCGACAAGGTGGAGATGAAGACGTGGAAGTCCACCGAGCACAACATGGGCATGGCCTTCGGCAGAGACACCTACCAGAAGCTCATCGAGTGCACGGACGCCTTCTGCACCTACGACGACTACAACTGGGACTGGACCCTGCAGCACTTGACTGTCTCCTGTCTTCCAAAGTTCTGGAAAGTGCTGGTCCCCGAAATCCCCAGGATTTTCCACACGGGGGACTGTGGCATGCACCACAAGAAATCCTGCAGACCGTCCACCCAGAGTGCCAAAATCGACTCTCTCTTGAACAGCAACCGACAGTACCTGTTCCCCGAAGCCATGAGTATCAGTAAAAGGTACTCCATGGCACCCCTGTCCCCCCACGTGAAAAACGGAGGCTGGGGGGACATCCGGGACCACGAACTCTGTAAGAGTTACCGCAGACTTCAGTGAGGATCGCGCTCGCAGCCTTTTTTCTTTCTGAATTGCTCCATACTGTCTTTTACAGGCACACACATGTATAAAAGCATTTATGGGTTGGTTTCTGCTTTAATATGAATAAACGTTCTTGTCAAAGGCGTCCCACGATGGTCATCTTTCATGTCCGGCCACCAGCCTTTGGAGACGGGCGGCGTGCTGCCGCTGGGCCGCTCGGAGCAGCCTCGACATCCGTGCGCAGGAGGCGGCCGTCGCCGTCTTACCAGGAGGAGGAGGAGAAAACTCGTATTTAAGTGCATCTCTCTGGGTGCTCACAGCGTGTGGTTTTCGTTCCTTTTCCCTCTGACGTGCCCTCGGTGCAGCGTGGAAGGGGCAGCGCGTGGTGAGGAGCGAGCGGACTGAGCCTCCCCGCGGCCCTCGGTACCTGCGTCCCGGTTGGTTTGCGATGTGTTGATGAATATATGAAGGAAAAACAAACAGAAAAAAAAAATCATTGTTTTTACTACAATGTAGATAAATATATACGATTTTTTTAGTTCTGCCAAAATAAAATTCAGTTGTTTTGTAATACCTGAGGAGTTCTTGATTATCCCGAATGGATCACGTCACCTTGCGTTGCTAGAAAGCCAGGACTGGGGCGGGCGGGTGCAGGAGGGTGGGCGGCTGTAGTCTGGGGAGCTGAACGGATGCCATCAGCCATTCCAGGAGGGTGCATTTAACTTTATTAAATTTTTAATGATGCTTACTAATTGAGTTAGACTAGAGAAACAAGCGTGTGATACCCGCACACTCTTGTTTGGAACAAAAAAGGTGCACTCCCAGATTAGCGAGCCGGGTAAAGTGACCGGTGACAATTCTGCTGCGTGTTGGAAATGCACCAAAGTGGGGCTGGCAGCCACGGGCAACAGAGATCAGCGCCGTTCCTCAACCCCGAGCACTTATTGCCTGCTCTTAGTGTAACGGTACAGCTGCTCTGATGGCACCTCACTGTAAGGCACAACTGGCAGCAGCAGCACAGAAGGAGCTTTTTGTGGAACAGGAGGGTGTCAGCAAAAGCAAACATTCAGCTGAGGTGACAGACAAACAGGTAGATTTTATGCTGAGAGATTTGGAGGGAGGAAAAGAAAAGAAAAAAAAAAAACTTCCTTTTTTAATTAGCTAACAGGGGTTGGCGTCCTTATGACTCCAGCAATCACAGTTACTAATTGAATGGAAGGACTTGCAGCAAGGCTTCCCTTTTACCAGCATTTGTCACCTACTTTATGGGTTGTGAATGTATCAGTTAAATGTTCATTTGGGAGAGCGCCAGGGTTTGTGAAATACTTTAAATAGCATGCAGATGTTTATGTTGAATGTGCCATGATAAAACATTTTTTGATTATTTTTTTTTTCCAGCGGTAATTTTACTGCCAAGATTTTGTACGAGCTTTGGTAACTGCCACATTTTCAGAGTTTCACAAAGTCAGGGCTGATGCCGAAAAGAGCTGTGCCAGTTGTGTCAGCCCTTTGGTACCTCCCACGAGGAGTTGCACAACTGGGTGACAGAATTGATCTGGGTTAAACTTAACCCAGCGAAACACCCACCCTCGCTCAGCCGGAGCCGTGCTGCGCTGGCACAAATGCTTTTGGCTTCCGCTGAACTCGTAGAAGTATCACATACGCTGAATACCCCCGTCCCTGCCAGCACTTGCCTGTAACAGAGCGATGTAGGAGAGATTCCAGAGCAGCTGTGAAACAAGTCAAAAAAATTTATTCCAAGGTACATTTTTGTCTCGTACAACTCAAAACAAAAAACCAGAAGTTATGTCAGAAGGAGTGAGAAAGGGAACTGAAAGTTTATTATAGATCTGTTCTTGTTGGTTATCACACTTCAGAGACACGAACTAGTAAACAGCGAGCTGAAGCTGACAGAGGGCTGAAAAGTGAACCTAATCTGGATGAAATGAATCCATTTTACAAATTGTAAATACTTAGTAGCAGATGCAACAAGACAGGATGTTTCTATTGTACAATCGAATTTGTTCGCTGACAGACTGGGGTATGTTTGGATGCTGCATAACTGAAGTAATACACCAGGGTGGAACACGTAGTATAAATGATGATTATTTCTAGGAGACTAATTAGAACTTCTCCATGTAATTAGAAATTTCATTTGATTGCTAAAAATCAGTGGCAGTCTAATCCTCCGATTATCACAAAATGAAGGGTTTGGAAAAAAAAAATGATGAATACCGCTCATTTCTAGGTGGACTAAATACAGCAGTTCCTGTGGGAGCCGTTAGAAGGAGGATATGTACAAATAACCTGTGTAATTTAGTAAGAGATTAAGAAAGTTAAATAAGTAATGAGGATGCATTGTCTTCCAGGAGCTTAGATTCACCTTCAGCTGCATCATTCTTGTCAGTAAAACTATTTCAGCTCATACATATAATTAAAGAGAACTCAGACCTACTAACTTGAAAAATTATTAACAGCTCAAGTATTCTAAGTTGACGTGTAAGCAGAACGGTTTCAGTAGGAGCCTGCTTTCTGCTTTCAGCCCTGGAGCCCTCAAGCAGCGCGTGGAAGTCCCAGTAAGCAACAAACAACAGAAGGAAATCCTGGAACAATCACACTAGTCCAGTTCATACAGCAAAGCATTCTGAAACGTGACGGCACAGTGCGTGGTGTGATCCCTGATGATCTGCACGCTCCCATCCTGCGTGCTCACCTCTCGGAGGAGCGGGGAGGCCGCTCTGCTGCCCGAGCTGCGCGGCGTCCCACGGGCCGGCTCTGCATCCGCAGCTGCTTCCTCCCCTTCCATTTTTGCCTGCCCTCCCAGCAGAAGGCCCCCCTGTGTGTCAGATGCTGAGGATGCGGCCGTTTCGCCGACTGTGAGAGCAGAGTCTAAATCTGGTTCGTTGCTCCCAGATTTGCCAGGAACTGCTGAACTGGTGTCAGAGGGTTCGTGCTGCAAACAATGGTGTGAACTACAATCTGCTTTTCCCATTGTTTCAGCTGGTACAGAAGACGTAGAAGTTGTGTTGGTTTCTGCAGCACGTTCTTCCACTGTGTCAGCTGCAGGGCAGTTTGTCTCTGTCTTGGTTTGGAAGGGGTCATCATTCGTCTTTTCGGCGGGATCTCCTTCTGAGCTGTTTGCTACTTGTTCTTTTTCACCACGTTCACTATGGGCTGCTTCCTGCGGCTGTTGAGGAAATAAATTGTTTTAAATTTGAAACCAACCACGCACACAAAACTGCTGTAACAACAGGCCGGGACACTTGTTCCTCCAACGCCTGCCACCACAAAGCAGCCGGTACGGTGCCGAGGGTTTCCTGATCCTGTAAATGCGCGTGGGAACGAGTGGCAGGGAGGCTGCTCGCCTCCCAGAGGTTTCCTCTGCAGTAGGAAATGCTGCAGGGCAGCTGCCACCATCCCAGCATGTATCGCAAAGAACCGGGGGCAGGGGTGAAAAAGGCCACTCACCACACCCAGACCCTTGTTTTCTGGAACTCAGGGGATAAAAATCGGTCAAAGGCTCTAAACCTTCATTGCGAGAAGTGTGTGTTAACCTTACAAGTAAGGAAATTACCATCTTGTTGTATGAGACAGCAGTATCTGGTGAGTGAGCTGTCCCTCTCAGTCGGGCTAAGTGAGTTAATCGAGGAATTGTTCCTGTTTGCCTCAGGAGAGCACGAACTGCGAGACCTGGTGCTGCCTAGGTAGCAGTTACCCAATTCCACTGCTGGAGCAGTCGCTAGCTAACAAAACGTGGCAGGTTCGCCGTACAGCCCCAGCAGGAGCAGCTGAATTCAGGGATTCGCAGCCCTGCATTGCTCTCCCTTCCCCAGCCCCTCCGGACCCCAAAGCCACTGCAGGGAAGTATCAGGAAGCCCTCAGCGCTGCATGGTTCTCCCACAGGGAAGCAGGAATCATTTAAGTTATCTCACTTTCCCCTCCTTAGGTACCAAAACATCCACCTGAGCCCTCCAACAATCCCAATTTTGAATTTTTATGCAGTCCACACTAACTCCAAAAGTAAAGTCCGTCAAGTACTGCTGGAGGCAGCATTTTCTAATACTGGTGCAAATTTTCCAAACGATTTTTGGCAAGTTCTTTAAGCTTCACCTTTCACTTTCCTACCTTGCAGAGGGAGGTCACTTCAATCCTGGGACAGACCTCAGAAACAGACCCCCCCTGTATCCCTTACACAGAGAGGTGACTGAGGAAGAAGGGCAGCCTGAATGATGCCTTAAACATTACAAGCTGTGATTTTGAGACCAGAGTTTAAGATGAATAATCGCGTGTTTAACTATCTCCACAACAGGAAACCACCAAGTATTCAAACACTTGGACTGCACAGAGATAATGAGACCCCATTCTTCACAGACAAAATCCTCAAGGTTTTCTCTATCTTTGTGATAAGGCAGAGACGTTGAAACACTGGCAGCAACTGAGCACCCTCTGTCCATCTTAATGATGTCTCCTTCTGTCTCCTGCTGTGCAGGCAGCTTCTTGGCCTCTCCTTCCTGCCCCTGCCCATGGCAGGGGGGTGGAATTAGAGGATCTTTAAGGTCCCTTCCAACCCAAACCTTTCTGCTCTATGATTCCATGACCACAGGTCCCTGCAGGTACGCTCGGCTCTAGTCACCAAGCTCTACCCTAAAGGTGTCTGTGCAAAAGGTGGCGTGCTTCAACCACGGGCTCTGGTACCTGGACCCAAATTTTTGTATGCATGAAGGACACGGGGTATTCATTCATTTAGTTCCATTTTAAGAAAATTCTGGTTCTGTTCTAAAGACATCTGCCACAATTTGTTTGCAGCACGTTGTCATCAGCTCTGACCTGGGAGAACTCACTGTCCCTTTGCATGAGGGACACTAACTAACCACTTGGTCATTTTTTCCTTTCAATACCAGTGAGAGATTTAGTGTGTGGATGCCACTGTATATTCCTGCCAGGAGAAAGCACTGTTTTCAAAGATTTTGTCATGGCTTTCCCTCTTTCCAATGAAATACTGGACATTTTGATCCCTCGGTCACATTAAATGGCAGAAGCATGAACTCGTATCTACAAACTGGCATTTATACTTACAGATGCACCGTACTCTCTGGTTTTCCCTGCTATATCAAGACAAAACAGGAACAAAGCTGCTCCAGTCAGAGCTGATATTATCTGGCTGAAGGACACACATCCATCAGTGATACATACGACTGCCAGCGATCCTTACCTTCAGCCTGATTTGACTTCTGTCCTCTGAAACATCAAGCACTTCAATTAATGGTTGACTTTCCAGTTCTGCCTCTGCGCAAACAGAAGGGCACAGAACAGTGTCTAGGAACCCATCAACGTTTTCTTCGCTGACAAACAATCTCTCCTAAAGAAAAGAAAGAAGAGGTTATGTTCTTGTTGTACTACACTTGAGTGCCACTGGAGCTAGAAACCCTCTCAAAGCAAGGCAAGGACCCTGATTCACAAAGCAGTTTTCACAGCTCGCTCACTTCTAGATAGACCCAATATTGGACATTGAGAAGTGATGAGGTGAAACGAATTTGGACAGCAGTGCTTAGCTCCTTTTGATTACAAGTACGGATCCTCGTTATACACAGAGATAAAAAACTTTTATTTTCTCTCTTTGATACATGATTAATATATAGATCTAGGTTCCCTTTGAGGAACGATTTGCACCAGCACTGTTCTGCTGTCCTCACCCACCTTAACGCCAGGAAGGCCTCAAGCATTTATGGATTTGTTTCCGTGCCTTACTTTAGGAAAATGTAAACACTTCAGATGTTCTTCAGGCTTCAAGATCAGACCTTCTAAAGCAAAAGCTATGAAACATGCATGACAATATCTGTTTCACATCCATCTGAGAAGGTTTCTCAGATCTCCACTTAGGCAAGAGTAAACACCAGGAGGAGAAAGCAGAGAGGCAGCACAATTACAGACAGTCTGGGGCACGGTTTGAGGCCCTTAATGTGCCGTACACAAGCAGGGTGAAACATGTCGCTACAGGTTTTAAGATTTAAATCTGTTACAGGTAATTAATGGTCCTAAAATATATCCTGGAGGAGCGTTTCATAAGAATGACAGCGCTCGCCCTGTCCTTATATTCTTCTGAAAACATCTGCTCTAGGCTGTGGGTACGGACGGACTTCAGCACAGTAAAATTCCTCTGACTTGGGACTATTCTTATGCTCTGAGAATTACCTTTCCCATTTAACAATTGTTTCATTGGAAAAAGTAGGAAAAAAGTTGCAAGCCATCTATTTTAAGCCGTATTTTTAAATTTCTCCTTCCAGTTCTACCCTCTTGTCAACCCAACTCAGGTTTAATTCAATTATCGCTGCCATCTTGCAGGCTGAGAAGCAAAAAGGCAATTCTGCACATTTTTGGCCCCCTACGGATGCAGCCTTATGCACAGTCAGATGCTGCACAGTTCCTGCGGTACCAAACCTAACTGTCATCTTTAGAAAAAAAATCTGCACGGGAAAAATAAAACAACTTCCTATTTTTTTCGCTATTTAAATTAGAAATCGCAATATGGGAAGTCGTAACGAATCTAGTGCTGGTTTTTAAAAGAAAATAAAATACATTTTCTATCCAGATTCAGCCCAGGCAAACATCCAGCAGCGGGTGCAGGCAGCCTGTGAGCAGGCTGAACTACGGCCCCGTTCCCTGACGGAAAACCCTCCCGTCACGAAGATACATCTCACGTTGTTATGTGTGGAGCCTGAAGTATTTATTCCCTCCAGTTCCTTCCTTTCTCGCCTGTCAGAGCGGGACCCCGCTGGTGTGTTAGGGTCACAGCAGCACTCTGCAGGGTTCAGAAGGTGGCAGGGTAAAGGATCGAGGCGTGCAGCACCACGGCTGCGATCCTCTGCTTCTCCCCAGACTGCTGTGACTGTGCACAAGTCTGTTTGCCTTTGTTTTTCTGTACAAAATGGGGAAAACGTGTTTGTTTGGTTTGTGTGTTTTTTTTTTCTCCCTCTGAACCTGTATTTGTTTTGTCTAGCGAGAGCATCAGCCTTTTATAAAAGGATTCTTACTGCGCATTTGTGCTCCTACCAGCGGCGGTACCGATCCTGCTGATGTCTGTAAGCCACGCAGCAACAAAACCAAATCCCAGGTGCAGGAATGCAGAGAGGAGGAGATGCTTTAAATGACAACAGTTCTGCTACATCTGAACACACCAAACCACATCCTCAGGTCGCGTTGCCTGAGCTGACTTCCACCGGCCGGTCCCTCGCAGGAGCTGCGGAGCCGCTGCCCAGTACAGCCCAGTACAGCACAGGGGGCAAAACAGCATCACGGGGGCACTGGGGAAAGGGCAGGAGATGCGAGCAGACCCGAAAGGACCCCTCTGAGTGGCTGTGAGGGTCGGGAAGCTGCAGCTGGAGCCACCTCGGCAGCCAGGGCCGGGAGTGCCAACAGCAGAGTGAGCGCCAGGCACGGCGTCGCCCCTGGGCCACAAGACCCACCATTTATTTCTTCTGATTCAAAGCAAAATAGCAGTGTTTCCGGTGAAGAAAACCAGTTAACACCACAGAACGGAAGGCCTGCTGATTGTTACTCTAGACAAGGACAGGAGGGAGCTGCCTGAGCTGATGCCTGCACCCCTTTAATGACCACGAGCCCGTTTCTGCAGGTTCAGTCCCAGCTTGGCGATGCATTCCCCAAGCCTCACGCTCACATTTCAAGGAAGTATTTAAAATTTTGCCACCAGTGGCCTGTCATCAACCAAAGCACCGTGTGCTGTACACGCAAGCAGTGCCGTTTGTTACCAATGACTGTCGTTAGTGTGTTCAGACAAGCAGCAACTCGAACTCCAACTTTACATTCACACCGAGCATACGCCGAGGCATTTATTATCACTGCAGATGTTATCGAAGCACAGAGTTTGGCAAAAAGTGATTCGGGGATTTATTTAAAGCCTGTTTGCTCTGGCTTGCAGGAGCAGCAGAGGACAGGCCTCCGCAGCTGATTGCAGGGACCCTGTGAAATAATGATTTGGTTTCAGTTTGCTTTATGATATTTATGACACATGGCTTTCCCCGAATCACACAAGGCTTTCCCCAAACACACAATCTTCTGCCACGTGCAACAGCTAAAAAGATGCTTTCATGAGCTTTATCAATAGGTTAATAACCCTTCCTGACACAACTGTTCTGTGTAAGGACATCATTCCCATAACGTGCCTACCAATTAAAGGCTATTCAGAAATTAGATTGTTTTATAGCAGAAGAAAACTAACTATGAGTTTTAAGTTAGAGAGGTTACACTGGAAAAAAAAAAATCAAATAAGCCTGTTCTGTTCTCCTTTTCCAACCTCCTCTGGCCTCCCCAAAAACTTGCCAAGAGTCCTGAAACGCTGAGCGCACAATTAAATGAACCAAAAATAAACTTCTGTCAGATTAGGCAGAACAGTCTCAGTTTCTAGCATCACCTTCTAAGAAGTGACCCCTAACCGAAGGATATTAACTCCTCACGGGAGTTCAGGAACTGAAAACTGTAGCACGGATTGAAGAACTGAAAGGAAGCACGGAACAGCTCAAAACGGCTTGGAAACGAGGGCAAAAGCAGAGCGAGCAGGAGCGCACCTGATCTCGCAGCCAGCTGGGGTCCAACACCTCTGTCAGGATCTCCAAGTGCCCTTCAGGGCAGCATCCGCGCTGCTCTCCAGTACAGATTTCTTCCTGAAGGTCAGGGGCTTAAAATGGAGAGGTATCTTATGCCTCCCAGCACGACTCTGCAGGCTGCACGCTCGGTTGCCTCTGGAACCAAGACGGTTCCTCCACAAGAGCCCCAACCCCGGGACCACCAGGCTCAAGGAGGGCCCCAGCACGGGTCCAGGGGGGCACCCACAGGGGCACCCCCAGCCCACGCTGCCAGCAGCGAGCTCTGGAGGCAGCACCTCACCTTTTCTCCCACGTCTAATGAGCTAACAAGAGTGATTGATTAGAAAGAGTTCAGACTTGGGTCCCTCCATTACAAAGACAGTTCAAAAAAATCCTCTTCTGGTGTTTTTTCTTGCACAGGGTCCCAGCAGGTGTTTGCCGTGGAGGAGCTGCCCCACAGCATTGCTGCTGTCAAAGCAGGAGACCCGAGTCCAGGGGTTAGACACGTGGCACTGGGCGTGCAGCACGCTTACCTGGGGTTACAGCACTTCTACAGTACTTACCAGCTCCTTTCTAAAGGGAAAAGCAACAAGAGCTTGGAAAGGATCTCCTTCACTGGGCTCTGGTGGCCGTGCCAAGCAGAAAAATCAGAGGATGTTTTATGTTCGGTAACATGCCCCCCTAAAACCTTCTCCATGAAGACATCAGCATGCCCACAGAAATCAAACACGGCTTCTGTATCGCTGCACAGCTCCCTTTTGGGTATCCGTGTTCAGTAATCCCCACAAACAGCACTGCTCGTGCTTAGCTCAAACCATGAGCTAATTGGGAATGTTTCGGATAACGTTTCTCATTCGGTACCCGTTAAAAATAAATAAATCTCAGTCCGCAGCAAAGCAGAGGAAACAAGGCTCCCCCCTGTTCTCTGGAGCCCTGCAGGGGTTCGCTTCCTCAGCAGTCACCTCACCGTGATTTCAGTCTTAATATTCTCCATCACGTTATGTGGGATTTTATTACAAGAGGTTCGTTGGTTTGGGTTCACGTGAAAACGGGCACACATGACTCTTTTGGGGTCATGCACAATTAATTATCTACCAAACATGTTCCACGTGCCAAGAATGCAGACTCCAAGCCTCAGTAGCTCCGATGCACCCACCAGAAACTGGCTTTTATTCCTGTTCAGGATGAAGCGTTTAGCCCCAGGGGACCAAACAAAGATGATGTTTCTCGAAGGCACAATTTCAGCCATTTCCCAACTCCAGCTCTGCCATAAACCAGGACGTTCTGGGACACGCTGTTCTCAGAAACCTTGCCTGGCAGGCTCACAGGTTTTATTAATGGTTATTTAACTCTCAGCCATTCTTTTTCACAACATATTCCTTAGGCTCTGTTTCTTAAAATGACGGGGAATTCTCTGATGCAGGAGTTTCCTTGGCCTGAGCTCCCAGGATTTAAACAAGCGGAAGCAAAAGGTGCGGAAAAAGTCCAAAGAAAAAGTCCAAAGTTATGAAATTTCTACCTTTATAGGATTTCTGCTCACCGTGATGAGCGTGAAGAGACAGCACGGCCTGGCCAAGGGGCAAAACTACTCAGAAAGAAAAAGCAGCAAAGGCTGCAAGCGCTGACTAAGAAGTTACGGCGTGGAGTCGGCAGAGCGCCGTGCGTTGTACGGGGAAGTGGTAAAAGCCAGAGGACATTAACAGCTACCAAAGGAAGGCAGGCTGGCAATGACACACTTAAGGTCTGGGGGGTGGAGGGCTGCTGCACTGTAAAGATTTGCTGAAAATAAGCACTTGCTTTAGCTGGGGTGAGGATCCAGGCTGCTCAGCATCTATGGAAACTGCGCTCTAAATATATCGTCTTTCAGCACAGGGATTCAAACGCATCTGACTTCACAAAAGGAAAGCCAGTCCTTGAAATTGCGTTTCAAGAACGTTGTCCTAAGCACAAGCCCGACTCATTCTCCTACCATTATCTATATCAGTCCAATTTCTGAGGAGAAAAGAGGGCAGTGCGATAACAGGACCCTGATGATCACGCAAGGCAGGGCCGTGCAATTAGCGGCCCCGTTATCACTCACGTTGATCTGGCAGAGGCACATGGGCAATAAAAGCAAGCAACAGAGGCTGCACAACATCAGAGTCCAGGGACAGGGCTCCGAAGAGATGCATCCTGCTCATGCAGAGAACAATTACCCTAACACGTTCTCCTGGTCATTTGGCACGTTAACGAGAGACACGGGGCAGCCACACGGGGCTTTGCAGCAGCCCCTGTGGCAGGTTTCTGCCACAACCAGCCCAGCAAGGAGCCTGCTCCTAGCAGCCTGGAAAACAGAAATCCTTGGTCTCCAATACAAAGCAGCTTCCCAGGAGACAGCAGAACAGGCACTTCCTACCCGTAAAAATCACTCGGCTCTTTGGGAGCTATCCTCTGGCCACGCTGCTGTGGGGAAGCGACTACAAAGACACGGGCAGCAGCACAGCTGGGAGGTAAAGGACAAAATTCCTGCTCACCTAGGCCACCAAAAGCTGCCTAAAGCGATTAAACAGGGCGCTACTGCTGGGCATGTTCCAGAAATGCTCTCTTCTGTGACTGATGCAACTCCTCGCGGACCTCAACGCAGAGAACGTAGCTCTGATTTATAGGAATAGATTCAAAGGAAAAAAACACCAGCGATTACGGCAGACAAATTGGAGAAGTCAACGTAAGTAGAAGAGAAATGACCACAAGCAAATTGTTAATGGACAGAAGACGGCAAATAATAGCAGCTCTAATTAAATATTAATTTTTCTCACTTCACGCTGAGTGAATGCGGCTATCTGTGCTGGCACAGGCACTTCTGGGAAACAGCACGGTTAAAAAAAGAAAAGAAAAAGCAAACAGAACAAATGACTTCAGATTATTTCAACTGCTTCCATTTGCAGGCTTGTATCCAAAAGGCCTGCACCCCAGAAGCAATCAATCTTTTTTACTCTGCTGCATGAATGAATGGCTGGGAGGCCTATGACTAATTCCAAGTCTCCTCCTCCTCCTACTCCATCCAAAACATTTGGCAATATATAATAAATTCAGGCCACTGAAAGATATTTTTTTTTTGTCACAAAGAGGTAATATTGCCTAAAATCCCATTACTGGCTAGCCTTGTAACACCTTTCAATAGAACAATGTTCCCCCAGTCATAATAATGAATGCACACACCAAGCAGCGTAACAATTAGACTCAGATCAAAGCGTGCAAACATGCCAATCAACCACCGTACTACAGACACACTTCAAGTGGAATCTCCTGTTCCCAAACTGAGTTTTCAGCAATAACTTCACAGTCGCAGAAAGCTGCTTTTTCACTAAAATAAGTAGATCTTTGCTACAACCATTTAAAATGACAAATGCTAACAAAAGAGAGTATCACAGCGATGTGTCCAAGCCTCTGTAAGCTCACCACCTTCCTGGTTCTGCAAAACTCCCTGAAAAACTAAGCAGGCTGTGAGATGCTCTGGTGGCAGATTGCATTTAGGCCTGTTTGCCATAAAACAATGAGCAAGCAGACTGACGTGCACCATGGCACATGATGAAAGAGATGGAAATCCAGACAACGTGAAAAAGCAGGTAAAATGCCTGTAGTGCCCATCCCTCCCTTCTACACCTATACAGGGCCAGCAGTCTGCAGATGACTTGCCTGATGCAATTTGACATTGTGTCAGCACCCAGCACCTGGTCACAACGATTAACGTTAGTGCCAAATGCTTTGTGGTCCCACCTGCACGGACTTGCAAGCTCCTGCTTTGGTAAAAGTCAAGGCCACGCACTGCAAACAGTTCCGTGTGGGTGGCTCTCGATAAATCCAACATCTCTGATACGCACCCGAACCGATGAGCTCCTTCAGAGGAGCTCACAGAAAAGGTGTGCAGCCTACCAAGTGGGAAATAAAATATGAAGATTCAGCTGTAGGTACGCTAGCTGGACAATTATATCTCCTCCAGAATCATGCAGTATTTTCTAATTGTAGGGACAGAGCAATTAAGACACCCCAAGCCATCATCCCACTGGATATACTTTGTCTGCTAGTTTTGTGGACTCGCACTGCCACGGTTTGTGAACCAAACTGCACAGGGTTTTGTTGTTCTAAAACAAAGATCAACTGACAATCACTGGGCCAAAAAGTTGCATAAGAATTACGCAGCCTTAATCCCTGTGCATGATACATTCTTTGAAGCACTGAGCTTCCAGAATAACGCAGCTCTCCACAAAACTTGTGTCAGTGCTTCTTCACGGCAGGAGTGCCACAATGTGAGCATCTTTTTGGGGAGACTGCCAGCCCTGTTAGCACCGTCAGCCAGATGCAGCAGACACGGCACACTCCCCCCATCACACGGAGCATCCTCTGCCTAACAACCCATAAAACAATAAGACACCTAAACCAGAATCATATTGGGATTTGTGAGGAGAGGGGATGAAGAACTAGGCCAGCAAAATGGCAATCAGCAGCTGCCTGTTCACGGCTGCTGGTTGCAATATCACCCCGGTTGAACCAGCAGGTGTTCCTGCTGTGTAAATAGAAATTCTGCCCCGAAAGGCAGACAGGTATACGCACACACCTGCATTTCAAGAAATTGTATGCATGTGTGTACCTCTGATGTGTTATAAACACCTCCTCTCTTCATGCACACAGGTGGGCATGAACCAGATGGTCGCTTACACGGCCTTAAAGACTAAAGCTAAGGACACAGCACAGGCTGTTTTTACTCATTATCAGTGTTTCCCTTGGAAAAAAAATATCAGCTCAGGAGGCAGAAGCCATTTCAAGCTCCAAGGACACAGTTATCAGCTCTGGGACATGACCGTTGCTAACCGTGTCGTTGCACTGACGCCTGGTCACAGCTCTCGGAGGGAAGATAACCTAACAGCTCCCAGAGATATCATTTATAAACAGCTCCAAAAGCGGGAGCTGCACGCTGGAGAGCAAGGCTGTGACGTGGCTGGGAGCGGGCTGAGCAACCTGCCCGGAGGGCTGTTACCTGCAGAGCGGAGGCGTCGAGGCCGAAGCTGAACTTCTCCCAGGGCCCGTCGCTCCCGGGGGCTTTGGCCAGCCCGATGGCAGCGTTGTGGGGGCTCACGCTCACGCTGGTCTCGGGGGCTGCCAGCCTGTTTGCTGGGGGAAACCTCAGGAAGAGGGAGTAGGCATTGGTAGCACTGGAGAAGCGGAGGCTGTAGTGGTTGGTGCCCACATCCCCCTGCAAGCTTTGGGGCTGGATGCAGGGCACGGGCAGCAGCAGGGTGAGGGAGGCCTCGTCCTGGCGGCAGCGGAAGGGAGGGCACAGGGCACGGGGCAGGCTCGGGGCCATGACAGCGGGGTTGGCCTCGGCCTCAGCCTCCAGCGGGGCTGGGCTGGGGGGGGAGCCCTCAGGGAGGCCGCTGGGCTCGGGGGAAGCAGCTCCGGAGCGGGGGGGATCTTTGGGGGGAGTGGGGGAGTCCCCGGTGCTGCTCCACGTGCTGCAGGGGGAAGGAGTAGGGGAAGAAGGAGGAGAAGGAGGAGGAGAGGAAGGAGGAGAAGGAGGAGGAGCAGCCTCGCTGCCTCCCCCCTCAGCCACCGGCTCCCCACCGAGGCCGGGCTCCTCCAGCCGCCCCCCGTCGTCCCCCTGCGGCTGCTGGGGAGCGGGAGGGGGGTCGTGCACGACGGGCAGGGTGACGAGCAGCCTCCTCTCGGCCTTGTGGAAGGCGGCCCGGCCTCGGCTCTCGTCCACGGCGTAGGGCAGGCGGAGGCGGAGGCGGTAGGCGGGTCGCTGAGAGTCGAGGCGCAGCTCCCGGGGCAGGACCTGGAGCACGGCCCCGGCGGCGGAGCGGAGCAGAGGCAGCTCCACCGTCACCACCAGCTCCCGGGGCACCGGGCTGGGCACGGAGTCCCGGCAGCAGCGGTAGTCCTGCAGCTCCACGTAGGAGCGCTGCAGGAGGCTCCAGCGAGGCGTGGTGGGGCCGGGGGGGGGAGGAGGATCAGGAGGAGCGGGACGGGACTGAGGGGACAGGGGGGACGGGGAAAGGTGGCAAAGGGCTGGCGGGGACGGAGGGGGGCGGCGTGGGGCCGCCGGGCAGCGGGGGTGCGGATGACGGGAGCCTGCGGGACGCCCTTGTAGGTGGCCCCGCGGAGGATGGCGGCGTTGGTGCGGTCGAGGCGGAGGGCGAAGCGGCGCTCCACCGCCTCCATGGCCGTGTCGCTGAGCAGGCGGCGAAAGCGGGAGCTGCGGGAGGCCAGGCGGAGGGCTGAGGGATGGAAAACCACGTCGTAAACCAGGCAGCGGCGGTGGCCGCCCCTCATTAGCTCCTCGCGTCCCGGTGCCAGGCTGTAAGGCAGAGCCCAGCGGTGGCCGCCGGGCTCCCGGCGAGCCTGAGGGCGGTCGATGTGCGGGTTGCTGCAGATGTTGAGGTAGCAGCGGCGGGAGCCGGCCTGGCTGGTGCGCAGCACGTAGCCGGGGGTCGGGTGGATGAAGCGCACCTCCACGCCGCGCTCCCGCTCCAGCGCCGTCACCTCCTCCTCGTACAGCCGCCGCTGCTCGGGGTCGGCCAGCTCGGCCGCGTACTCGGCGAACAGTTCGCGGAAACGAGGGTCGCGGAAGGCTTCCCGCAGCCGCTCCGCTTCCTCGGCGCTGAGCTCCAGCTCCTCCGGGCGCCCCGCGGCCGCCATCGCCTCAGGGGCCGCTCGGGTCGCCGTGGAGACGCCAAACAAGATGGTGGCCCCCGCCCGTTGCTATGGTGATGGCAAACAAGATGGCGGCCGGGCCCCGCGGCGGGTTGCTGTGAGGGAGCCATGGTGGTTGGTGGCTCCGTGCGTTCCCCTCGTGGTTTTCCTCAGTGCCCCGGCCGGCCGGGGTGGAAAAGGCGGCAGCTCTCCGTTGTAAGGCAAACCGTGTGGATATATGTAATATATCTTACCTATATCTACATATATAGAGAGATATAAGCACTGCCTGGCCCTCAGTTCTCTGCCTTTCTGGTTGTTCCTGTGGTGGGATTTCCAAAAAGCACCCACCAGCCTCCCCAGAAACGTCAAAGGACCATGTCCTTGTTCCCCGTACACCCCTCCTCACCATAGCTGCCTATGTTATTCGCTAATTATATTGCCCACAGTAATCAGTGCCTCACAACTTTTCCTTAGACCTTTCCTGTCCAAAGAAAAATCCCAGCCTGTATTTCCTGTATTTGCTGCAAATAACTAGCTATCAGTTAAGAAGAGCATGGCAAAAAACAAAGTTCTCCTTATCTTCAACTTCCTTTTTAAAGGATGCCTATTTTCTATCTGCTATATGTGTTGCTTCCTCCAGTTGCCTTCATTTATTACGTTGTGGCGATCTTCGTTGTGACTCTATGTTTTATCTACGCCAACACCAGAATATTTTTCTGTAAAAATTTATTGACATACAAAATAAGCCATTTTTGGCTTTGACACTCATTAAGAACAGTCTGTAATACATTATAAAATCAGTCCATCTAAAACGAGTGCTACAGTCGACTTTACAAAGACTCCATCCCTTTTTTGCCATCTTGTAGGAAATCACAGCCCCTGAAGCTTGCTGAAAATACCAAACAAAAACAATATTTAGTTAAAAAATTCACCATAACTGACATATTATTCTATTTCTTGATCTGTGAAAAATTTCATAACATTTTAAACTATTTAAAGACCTGAAGCATCTCATGATATTTTCTATATTCAAATAAAGGCTATATGAGGTCTATCTTAGCAATTCCCTTACGTGGAGAATTATACGATTCTATTTGAGAAAAAGCTTCTGCAACAAGATGTGAAATTGAATCAGAGACAGACAAGGCAAATTTCAAGTTCCCGTTGGGTTATTTCAAACATGCACATTTTCCTTGCTGCTGTAAGCCCTTTGATACTTTTTTGGTGTTGAAGTTGGCCTTTTCTCCAGTTGTTGCAAGATCACAATTGGAATGAATAAGCACAGATGTAAAATACATGAAATCAAAGCATGAGAAGTGGCTTCTGTTTGATTATGATCATAAAATGAACCAAAGATTGTTCCTAAGTGCAATTAACCTATGCAATAAGCATCATCTCCAGAAACAGATTAAATCTGTCTCCCAACTGGGTCTCAGTTATTAAAAATGATGTAGTACAATCCATCTTTCTATTTTGGATCATGCTTCTCATCACTGTTACTTGACTGTAATTTCTGAATTTCTTATTTTAGTTCTAGGCATTCTTACACTAAGTACAAAGCGCAAGTCTACGTTAACTGCTAGAACATTCACTGTTTTTACAGTTGATTTTCTGTATTCTTCCTGATAATTGGAAAGTCAGCAAATAAAGAGATGCTTTCTGTTAAATGAGAAATTGAATATATTTACCTGTCTTCAACTGTCTTGTTGGAGGGGTAGAATACCTTGAATGAAAACCCACTTCTTGGAAATGAACCCTGTAAAGAAAAATACACCACACTTGTGTAAGTACACCACTGTACAGATGGTAAGAGACACACTTAAACGTAACTGCATCCCCTCTGGCAGTTGACCAGTCATTTTCATGGTATTTAAATTCATCCATTCAGTAAATTAAAGGTTGTTTATACAAGTCCAGTACATTCTTATTTTGGTAAAGCATAAGGAAGTCTTACAGGATTTATACAAAGACAGTCGGTGTTGGTGACAGTGAATGGGTCGTATTTATCCGCAATGACAAGCATGTCTGGCAGAGGATACACCCTTAGGGAGTAGTCGTAGGCCCAGTACACGGGGCTAACGTACAGCGGAAGCGGTGTCAGGTGTCCTTGTGATAATATAGTCTTTACAAACTGCAAGACAAGCACAGATAGATAGTTTGAACCATTTTCTACAAGTTTGAACCATTTCCTACAAGTCAAATGTATTTCTGCAGATGCTAATGCTCTGTTAATAAAGAGGTTTTTAACACGGAAATATTTTTTATGCATCTCACTCCCTCTCATTACTATGATTTCTATAGTAAAGCAGTGGCTCCACTACAGCAGCTAGCTCAAAAGATCTCAAGATCAAGATCTCAAAACTATTACATCAATCAGACTCTCCAAAACAAAACAAAACAAAAAACGCAAAATCTGCTTGTTTCTCCAGCCCAAGAAATACCAGCACTGCCATAATTTTGGGGTACAATTTTTTCATTCCTCCAGAGTTTCCTTGCAATTCCAGTTAACCAGAAGACCAACACTTAAACAGTCTTTACCCTGAATTTGTGCCTTTGATTCCCAAATATCTTTTTTTCCCTTGATTGTTCTTACGGTAGTTGCCCTGCTCTAGACAATACCTGACTAGCTGCCTCCTTTGTAGTTCCCATTTTCATCTGGCAGAATTCGGCCAGGGCATTTGGGTTCCTGAAGTCCTCCACTCAAGCCCCCTGAAAGCTTTTATTATGTTTCCTCAACCATGTAGCTGCTGCTAGGATCTGTTTTCCCCAAAGGCCTAAAATCACTACAGCAACTATGTGAGAGGGGCTGCTGTTAAAAGAAAATGACGTACACAGCAGAGGCCCAGCTATTCCAGTGGTACTGTACGAGGCCTAAAGACACTGCTAATTCAATCTCATGTTAGTAACACAATTTCCCACTCATTCACTGATGGCATAATTAAGGTATTAATGACAGGCAGAAAAGGCAGAGAAAAAACAAAGGATGCAAATGCAAGCCAATACTCCTATTTGCAGAAATTGTTACACATAAATTGATGTTTCCTTCATGACTCCTCTTCCAAGCAGAGGAAAGCCCTGTATGAGTGCAGGGAAGTGAGTGTACAGTGTACACACACATATGCAAAAATGCACACAAAAAACAGGTGCATCAGTGTCCATGGTGGGATTTTTTGTGCTCACAAAGAATCTGAGCACTGTTCTGATGGAGAGAAGGAAGAATTAACAGGAAGTTTCGAAGTCAAACAAGAAAAAAAAAAAGTAAAATAAATAGAAGCAAACTCCATCCATCACTGCAATGAGCCAGTATTGTCTGGATCATTCTCATTCAATTATATCAGTAAGTCCCATCAACTCCTGCTGTGCATTCATTAACTAGAATCATAACTCAGTGCGCTGTGTCGATGTATCAAAAGGAGGATTAAGACTTCAAGTAAAAAGGCAGGGGAAGCAGGTGACCTTTCGGAAAAAGTGACATGCTGCTTTCCTGCAAATGTCACTGGTTAACTGATCAAATCTTAAAAAGGTAATTTGTATTAAGCTTTGCATTTAGGAATCAATGTTTTGTGGTACAACGTTTGTGGCTGGTGCATAGACACCAACAGTCAGCTGCAAGGAAGTTCTGAGTTCAAGGGCACCTGCAAAGGGACAGCCAGAATGACTCAGTGTCATCAGTCAGTATCCTGGTTTCGGTTATTTTGCTGTCAAGATGTAAATGAAATTACTAATAATAAGTGTATAGATCCCTCTTCACAATGCTTTTAGCAAACTTAGTTACTCTTTCAAAATATCAGGAGTATGCAGATCAGAGTACACTAAATGCAAATCTACTGATCAAAAAAAGGAGTCAAACTCTTAGCAAAAAGTGTTGAACAAAACTCACTCACGTGGTTGGGAATATCCATGTTGCTGTTAGGGAAGCGGACACAGTTTCTGCACATCTTGTTTACCAAATCTTCACGAAAGATAATTATTTCTTGGGTACAATATTGAATCCTAAATGGAAAACATTAACGAAATTAAATTATGACAAAACACCAAAAGATGGAAAGTTGTATTATGAAGTCAATCTTACTCTGATACAGCAAAACAAAAAAGTACATTTCAATTCAAATAATACCTTCTCATCTTCCCTTCATTACACCTCCAGATTCAGAAAAAAAAACATGATGCTTTTGAGCAGGTCATTACACTCTGTCATTAAACTGTTGGCAGTACGTCGAAACCGTCTTGTTCAGGATGGTTTTAGAAGTAATTTATTTATTCATTATTGTATTTAAAACTAATTACAATTAATGCAAGTAAGGAATTCTTGTAATTTAAAAACGTTAAGGCCATTACATCTGCACATGAACTAGTCATTCAGTATAAATAAATAAATAAACAAATAAATAAAACAGCAGCAAGTTAGACTGTTACCTGCAAGGATTTGTGGTGAAAACTGAAAATGGCACTAGCTGCCTGAATTCCTCAGTAATATTTTCAGCCAGAGGAGGTCTAAAATAAACAGCAACAGGTGTATCAGCCAAGATTCTGACCGTCCTTAACTATTCAATTCAAAGTTTCAAAAATTGAAAAACAAGCAAACTGACCGTGGTAAAATAGAACCAGGACCAGGATCTTCAGGGCCAGGAATAAACACAAATCGACTACTGCAAAAAAATCAGCATAGTGCTTTTATATAAAATAACCCCCCATGTATCTAAACATTGGTTACATGCTTCTATACGTGCACTACTTCACAGATACATGCAAATAACCTATTCTGGGACAGACTTGACAGTTCCCCCCTTGATTTAGTTCTCCCAGGCCTGGAATTCAGCTTCCACTGAGCAGGCACACAAGAAGGGATAAAAAAAAAGAATCTCTTTCCAGGCCTGTGTTTCAGTTAGCTCTCAAACTAGCAGCCATGGAGAATTGTGTAGGCAAGAATACGAAAGCAGAAAAGCAGATGCTGCTGGTAGCAGCACTGAAACCTAAACATCAGTTTATAAAACAGCACTGCATGGGCAGAACCCTGCTAATTTCAAGGGAATTCCAGAGGAAAAAGAGGCTTGCCCACGCAGTGCTTTTCAGGAACCGTGGGCCATGCTTAATGATGTGGAAAATGTTCCAGAGAGAGGCAGTTTCACCTTTGCTCATTCAACAGCAGATTCCATGACCAAGCTATTCTAGATAGAATCAGAGCTTTATGCTGCTCCCAAAACAACCTTACAGGCCTGTTACCTGATCACAGCAGGCTCACAGTAACTGGAGAACAGGTTATCTGTCAGTTTCTTAAAGTAATTAAAGCAAAGCTCTTCACAAAATAAGCACATTTCCCTTTTTCATAGCACTTTGCTGGGTACCTTTTATGAATGCTGGGATATTCACAAATTATATCTGCAAGAGCCTTCAAAGAACCTAGAGTCAGAAGAAAAACATCTATGATACAGCACCTGGTTAGGCAACAAACACACAGTCTATGAATCACCTGCACACTTCCGTGCACCAAAAATGTGTCACTTAGAAAATATGTGATTCTTTTCCGCTCTCCTGAATTGTTTTGCCATCATAATTTTAATTTAATGCACACGTCTGACTGCAAAGAATTCCTTACCTTTCAGAGACTGAATTTGATTTTTTCCATATGGTGCAGATGAAAAATTTCCACAAAAGAAAAAGCAGGTTGGAGGTGCAGAGGAATAACCTGAGAAAACAGAGCATCTGTGAGTCTAACATCCATCCCCTCCACTACCTTTCATCAGTCAGCCTGCAGAGCATTTCATGAAAGGCAGAAACCAAAGCAATATTTGAAGTTCTGCTGCTATTAATACCCCAAACTATTTTCTCAATACAGGCTTTCATTATTTACAGACCCAGTTCCAACAACATTGGTTGTGCGTAGCCAACTAACTGCTGACCCAGCCATATAATTACGCAAAGTACAACTGCAATAAATAATACAATTTAAGAACACACTCTTTCCTTCAAGAGAAAAATAGCATGTAAGTAAGTAGCAATGGATTACCATTAACCTCCATGCACCATTCCAATTCAAGGGCTCTGCTAATATTTAATTCCCTCTTTAGCATTATGAAGCAACAGTGACTGCAATTGCCTGAGCGTTTTAAGAATCTAATGAATTCTCACCGTATCACGAATCACACAGAAACACAGGCTTTATAGCAAAGGCTATGATTCTATGACTGAAAAAAAAAATAAAAAAAAAAGCCTTTTGCAAACTCTGTAACAAAAATAAAACGTCTACTCAGGCATTTGCCTCATGTTCCAGGTTACACTCCAGCTCCCTCGCCTTCAGAACCAGACTTGCCTTTCCCTCGCTGCTTTACAACCCAGCAGATAAATACAACAGAATTCCTTATACCAGAGAAATGGCTCATCAGGATTTTTTCCTTGCTATTCCTCCCAGCTATTATTTTTAGTTCGTAATTATGAAGCTCACTACTTGTCTATTACCAAAAAAAAATCTGAAAATAGTAAATGCAATACACACATCTTTGCCAATTTGATTTATTAAACTGACCAAAGTCCCTTTGTTACTTCAGCATCTGAAGCTCTGGGTCAGGTTCAGTTTGGTTCAAGGATTTTGCCAACTTTCATCCAGATACAGAACTGATTTCCTAACTTCAAAGTTAACTTCCTACCTTCTCACTAGATATTGTGGTAACGTGTCC